ATATTACTGTGGTAAAATTGTCTCAGGGCATGGATAGTATGATGGCTATAGTTCTGGTTCGGATTACTGTGGTAAAATTGTCTCAGGGCATGGATAGTATGATGGCTATAGTTCTGGTTCGGATTCCTGTGATAGCATTATAAATCTTTAACATTACTTTGTCTCTACCTGTTATGAAAAACTTATAGTTTTAAACACAGGAAAGCTGTTTCCTAGCACAGCCGGAGTGTAGTACCCGAAATAGTTTAAAATACAGGAAAGCTGTTTCTTAGCACGACCGGAGTGTAGTACCCCAAATAGTTTAAAACACAGGAAAGCTCTTTTCTAGCACAGCAGGAGTGTATTGCCCCAAATAGTTTAAGACACAGGAAAGCTGCTTCCTAGCACGCCGTAGTGTAGTACCCCAAATAGTTTAAAACACAGGAAAGCTGCTTCCTAGCATAGCCGGAGTGTAGTACCCCAAATAGTTTAAAACACAGGAAAGCTGCTTCCTAGCACGACCGTAGTGTAGTACCCCAAATAGTTGAAAACACAGGAAAGCTGTTTCCTAGCAGAACCGTAGTGTAGTGCCCCAAATAGTTTAAAACACAGGAAAGCTGTTTCCTAACACGACCGGAGTGTAGTGCCCGAAATAATCTAAAACACAGGCAGACTGTTTCCTAGCACAGCTGGAGTGTAGTGCCTGTAAGCTAACATAATTGTCTTAGTACAGTTTTATTCAACACTTGCGTCAGTACATTAATGAGGTTATTCGCTTTGCAGGTTTACAAACAAACCGTTAGGGATCAACTAACACGATACAAGTTGAAACATTTAACACCTTCCGCATGGCAGTATTATATTTTAAAAGATACTGAATGATTGTTACATTCTGTCTGGTCCGGGTGTGGCCATGTGGTTAGCATGCTAAGACTGTGAATCCCAGGTGTCACGGTATACGTCTCGATGCCGACAAAACACACTCCGCATTTTGGGGAGATAGGCGCTCTATAAGAGTGACAGTCAAATTACACTATTCAGTTCAAAAAAAGAGAAGCACATCAGGTGGTGGTGAATGCTGATTACTAGCCGTGTTGCCTTTAAGTTAATAGGTCAAACTATGGACGGCTAGTATAGATAGCCTGGTGTAGCTTTGCATAGAAATTCTAAAACAAACATTCGAAACTTACACAAATGATTCATTATGTTTGTTCAGACGCTCTGCCTTAGTCATGAAGTATGAGTATGTACTCATTTATAAATCTATAAATATGATATGTGTCTTTCCGATATAGATTTTTTTTGTGCTTTCATATCATTGAGAATAGATACGTTACTGTTTTGTTAAACGCGAATTGGCACACTGCTCAGAAACTACTTTTCTTTACATATTTCAAACGATTCTTTTTTTGTCCAGATGTCTCATGGAAGCAGAAGAAGAACATATTTCTAACTAACCTAAGTTTTTCTTCATTTATTTTTATACAAAGATTAGCATAAGTTGTTGCTATGTGTTTCAATCTAGTGAGTGTTAAAAACTACAACTAATGAATCCATCCCAATTTTGTTTTTGTTGAGAATGCATCTCTTAACTCTTTGCCTCTGCATTTCATTCATTTTAAATATCCATGTACTATAATGTACCTAAATAAAGACGCAAACAAAGGAATTGTATACCCAACAAACATGCTCCCCCTTTCAGCCGTGGGGGCGTTATAATGTGACAGTCAATCCCACTATTTGTTGGTGCCTCTGCATTTCATTCATTTTAAATATCCATGTACTATAATGTACCTAAATAAAGACGCAAACAAAGGAATTGTATACCCAACAAACATGCTCCCCCTTTCAGCCGTGGGGGCGTTATAATGTGACAGTCAATCCCACTATTTGTTGGTAAAAGTGTAGCTCAAGAGTTGGCGGTGGGTGGCCATGAATAGCTGCCTTCCCTCTAGTGTTTCACTGCTAAATTAAGGACGGCTAGCGCAGATAGCCCTGGTGTAGCTTTGCGCGAAATTAAAAAAACAAACAAACAAACCTTCGATATTCTGAAGTGTACTTTCCCGTTTATTCGATGTAGGATATTAGTTTGTAGGTAAGGTTTGGTACTATGAAGTAAGAATATCTTAAATACGAACTGACAAAAATGCTTATTTAAGAGTTTTTGATTTTTCTTTCCAGGTCGGCCGTAGCCAGGACGCGGGAAGCTAGAGATGAAGACAGAGTCTGAACTCGATGGTGAAAGTAAAGAAGAACTAGAATACGCAGATTCTACGACGAATGGAGGAAGTCAAGCTTTGGTAACTCAGGTACTACGGCCGCCGGTATTGGTTGGAATTCCTCTTACGGTGGTCACCACAACAAGTGACCATAGAGATTTGTCCGACAAGTTACCACCTAGTCTTTCAACCGGAGAGCCATCTGCTCTCAGCTCCAGCACAGGAAATGGATCGGATAGTAATAGCACTCCAGGTCAACAAACTAGTCCCAAAGGCCGGGATGGTCAGTCTAGGGATAAAGTTTTTGTGTGTAGCGTTTGTAACCGCTGTTTTGGTTATAAGCACGTGCTTCAAAATCACGAACGCACGCATACAGGTGAAAAGCCGTTTGAGTGTAAAGAGTGCCATAAACGGTTCACTCGTGACCATCATCTGAAAACTCACATGAGGCTACACACTGGGGAAAAACCCTATCATTGTACGCACTGTGAAAGGCAGTTTGTCCAAGTGGCCAACTTACGTCGACATCTTCGCGTCCATACGGGTGAGCGTCCTTACGCTTGTGAACTTTGTTCTTCGAAGTTTTCTGATAGCAACCAACTGAAAGCCCATATGCTCATTCATAAAGGGGAAAAGCCATTCCAATGCACAAATTGTATGGGACGCTTTCGCCGAAGACATCATCTCATGCACCATAAATGTCCAAATGATGAAATGAATATTGGTAAACCCCGCAGAGGTCGCCGTCCTAAGGCGTATGATCAATTTCCAATAGGAGTTCCACTAACAACTGTTCAACAACCTTTATTACCAAGTTCCGTCGCTGCCTCAATAACCTCACCTAATCCTTTTGCCGCAGGAAGTAGCCACGAGCCTGTACCACCACCAGTGTCCAGAACAACATCACAATCTCGCCGCAAACCTCGTCACACCATCCGAATTCTAACACCTGAGCAGAGAGAATTGTTTCTACGAGACCAAGAAACAGTGCAGACACAGGCGATTGACATGAGCATTTCTCCTTCATCTGGAGGTCCATTGGCCATCCTCATGCCGCGGACTTTTAGTTCAGCTCATATTGAGGAAGGTGTTTTAGATCTCTCCAGCTCTAGAAGTGATTCAGATGCTGAGGCCATCGAGGAAGAAGTAGAAGAGTCCGAAAGTGATAGTGAAATTCCTAGATCCTGGAGGAAGGAGTCATTGGCCTTCCATCCTGAAACCTACAGGTCCTGGAAGAAGAAAGTTCCAGAGTTAGAGAGGGAAAAAGAAGGAAACGACAGCGATGATCAGCGGCATGGAAATGGAAATCGAGTTGTCAATGATGAAGAAGATAGCAGCAATGAACCATTGGAACTGACGAAAACTTCCTAGGAGAGCAAAATTGTGTTCCTAGTTTTAGAAAAAACATCGCCTATGGCTGTTTTGAAAAGTTTATCTTAATGAGCTACCTCAAAAAAAAAAAGCGATTTTGGTATTCGCCTGCTGAAACAGTGAAGTCTAGATTTGATGAGAATACGCAATTAATCTTTTTTTTTCAAAAAATAACTGCGTATTATGTATCATACAAGTGTTAAAAAAAACGAGGAATAGGCAACATAGATACATTTCACACTATAACTTAAAAACTACTAATTTACAATAAACGACTCGTAAATAAAGATATAAAATCAAACTATACTTTCTGTTGATAACGCTACTGGTATTAGTTTTTACCTGAAAAGGCGCCTAAAACTCATCTATAAAATTGTGTCATTTATTATCGTGTATAAGTAAGGCATTACTGTGTCAGCTGGCGGAATGACCAAATCGTTATGGCTATAGAAGCCAGTTCAAAACATTGAGGCCCAAAGAGTTTTGTGTGTTAAAGATTGTGATAGGTTTTAATTTCATGATTTATTGCGCATTATAGGTTTGAAAGAGAGAGAGAGAGAAAAAAAAACACGTCAAATCGGTTCTTAGTTGTGGTAATAAGGTTTATAATTTTGTTTTTCAGTCTATCAACCTGAACCTACCTCAGAGCCACGCGAGGTGTGGCCCTGCTGCTCATATGGTGATGTTTCAAAACATTTTTATAGTCAGAACCTATAGCTACCTCAACCAAGTCAGTTAATCAGTATTCGATGTACGGCATAAAGAATTTTATTTTTCAGGAATTGATAGAGAACAATATAACGTTTGACTCCTGTGCGGTATCTCGTAATGTGAAGATGCTTAAAATCGGGTGACCAAATAATTTACTGTGTTCTAGTAAACGTTAGTGTTGACGGGTTTCCCAATCAAATGATGATATCACAGTTTCAGTCATCGTGTTGACTTGTGTGGTTAAGATTAGGTGTTAGGTTTGTGAGCTTGTCAGAAAATGTAATGGGATATGAAACATGTTTTTCCCTGAGAATAATATATTATATAATGTATAGGGTGTACGAAAAACGTGTCTCTTATTGCCAGAAAATACATATAATTGTAAATAATTTCTTTTAGGTGATATTTTTCCCTTTGCTGTACCTGTTTCTGTTTGGCCCCATTCTGGTTGTTTGTATTATAGGAGAATTATATAACCATCACAAGGGGGGTGCTGGTTCAGAATGGGGCTAACCAGCTGTTTGGATAATGGTACTACACAGTGATGAAACTATATTAGGATGATTTTGACCCCATTTGTTATTAGACGTAAAACGTTGTGTCCCTATGTTGATTTTATTGTAAACAGACTTTTTTGCAGAATGACAGAAAATTAAAAAAAAAATAAAAACGTAAGTATCGTACTTATTATTGTTAGTTAGTAACTAAAGTAGTGTACCTACCTGGTTAGGAAAGAATTAGTTAACTCTAC